GTGTAGCCCAGGCTGGCCTTGAACTCGTGATCCTCCTGCCTCCGCCTCCTTTGCCTCCTTCAGCAAATCCTACCGGTGTGTGCCACCACAACCGGCTGGAAGACAATTTTAAGAGGAATAATGGTTGAGAAAATTAATATAAACAATGAGCAAAAAGACAAATTTGATTGGAGATGTGATCCAAGGATAGAGGGGCATATCTAAAAAGGCATTCATGTGGCATTCATGTAGTTATACTTATTTCTCAACCACTGACTCCATCCTCTGCAGACACATTGTGACAGAAAACAGGAGGCAGTGCCTAAGAAGCTAATTGCATCCAAGGTGATTCTGGGCTTGAAGTATAGTCCTAGGTACTGCGCATGGTATCTGTGGGCCATGCATACTACTGATTGTCAGGCAGACCTTCCCTCCTGCCCCCGCTCAATCCCGTAGTCACCTTGATGGCTGATTACCATAGTAAAGTCATTGTGAGAATTAAAAAAATAAGACCAAGATTCATTTATTATGACTGTACTTATGACTTTGCTTTGCTTCAAAAACAAAACCAAAAACATATGGCAACTAGAAGAATATTGCTAGTTCTCCAGAAGGCTTAATAATGGTTTTTTGACAACCCTATAATTTCCAGCTGTGATCAAATAGAGGGTGCCATAACTCTCTCTTCTTTGAGGACAGAAAAGAAACCAGTTCTTGGTGCCTCTGAACTCATCATTGATATAATAAAGAAGGTTTTATTTTACAACTGCATATTAAGTGGATACCTAATAACATTGTTTTGTGCGCATGTGCATGTGTGGTTTTGCTTTTCTTTCTTTTTATTTTATTTTTAGACAATGTCTCATTATATATCCCAGGCTAGCCTGGAACTCAATATGTTGCTCAGATTCAAGTTTCTCCTGCCTCAGCCTTCTCAGGCTGGGTTTACAAGCACGTGCCACCACCACAATCACCTTTGAAAACACCATTTTTAAAAAGACTTATTGTTTTTGATTTTATGTGTATGGGTGCTTTGCCTGCATGTATGATTGTATCCCATGTGCATGTCTGGTGCCTGTAGATGCCAGAAGACAGTGTCAGATTCCCTAGAACTGGAGTTACACGTGGTTGTGAGTACCATGTGGGTGCTGGGGAACTGAACCTGGATCCTCTGGAAGATCAAATAGTGCTCTTAACAGCTGAGCCATCTCTTCAGCCCTAATAACACCATTTTTAAACTAGACAAAGGTATTTTGAAATTGGCCCTCCCTTCCCAGGAATAGCAGAGAAAAAACAAGCATGGTAATTTAAAAACAAACAAACAAACAATGTTCTAGGAGGTAGATGGTTCTAGACCCTCTTGTTTCTGAGAATTGTTACATTTTGGAATAATAGTTTGTGATTTTTTTTTCAAAGAAAAGTTGCAGTATAACAAACAGCCAGCAGATTTTTAAAATAAATCTTAATAACATTGTGTCTAGACCATCACCTTTGAAAATTTCCCATTTTCTCAATTTCCTAAAATACTCACAGATATATATTTAGCTTTGGAGAGCTGGTGACTTAGCAACCAATGGGTCTGCAGCAAAAAGTTTATTATCACTCCTCCCCCCCACCCCTGCGGGCGCCCCCCCTCCCCCTCCCCCGCTTTCTCTTTTCTACCACTTTGCTAAGGAGAAGAAAAATTAGGTCTGGAAGACAACTGAGAATGCTACACAAAAAACCGCAAGCATGTGAATGGACTCCTAGAATAACTAACTGGTTTAACTTAGAAACACAACACTTCCCCTGGAGGGGGCTCCCCTGTGCCTGGCACCCAGCCTATGTATGGGTGATCTCTCATCCAGTAACAGCACCAGAGCACAATCAACATCTGAGACTTGACAGAGATGCTAATTTTCAAATCTACCTGGATGACTTCTGCTACCTGAATATTCCATCCTTTAAGGAAAAAGAAAAAAGCTCCCCTTCTAAAGTCCACCTAAAAGACTCCTTTGTTTCCCCACAAGGATACTATCCTTTAAAACACCAGGGAAACAGTGTCTTCCAGACACAACAGGACTGATGCACATATGAACTCATGGAAAATGTGGCAGCATACACAAGGCCTATACAGGTTCAAGCCAGATGAGGTCCCAGTGCTGAGAGGCAGAAGTGCCCACAGGTTTCCACTACTAACCAAGAAGCTATCTGCAAGTGACACCCATTTGCAAAGGAAAAATAGTTTTTTTCCAATGGCATCTTATTGACTATATTAACCACACATAAGACCAGATCCCATGCCCAGCAGTAGATGACCAACACAAAATGAACACAATGGTATTTTTGTAGATTTTTGTCTCACTTTGTGTTTCTTTGGGCTTTTTTCTTTTTTATCTTATTGGTTGTTTACTGCTCTTAGGTGGTGGGACCTGAGAGGCAGACTAAAGTCTCATACAATATCTAACTACTAATCCCACTGGGTGAGAATAAGGACCACTACCACAATTTTTGAAACCAAATTTGAAGCAAGCTTTATTAAATACTGGCCAGGACCATGAGTACTGGCCAGGTCCATGCCCAAAACCCATGCTCAGAATATGACCCAAAATTACATTAGTCAGAGGCTTATAAAGACAAAACCCATAATGCTACATACTTCTCACCAGTGTCCAATCAAAGGCAAGCATTCATTCTGACATACTTCCTGCCTACGTACCTCCTGCCTAGGTGTGATCAAGCACACATCTTGTGACATTGGGGCAACCAAGCTTGTTTGCAGAAGTAAAAAACACGTGGTTTGTTATCTTACATGAACAATAGCCCCCAACATTCCAAGAAGTTACTGTCCTTGGGAAAGCAGAACTTACAGGTTAGTATTTTTGTTTTATAGATCTCTTAAGCACAGTAATTTAAACTTAAAACAATGTTAACCATCACATACCCCCTTTGAGTTGTATCCTGAGTCAAATCCTTGACTCTATGGTGGGTACCTGTTTATACTGGGATCTAATGACCACCAGCCTAATGGCACACAGACAGGAATTTATGTATTTAGTTAAGGTTATTCATGATGCAAGGGTCAACAGTAATTAACATCAGAGTTACTATCTAAGAAGAGACTCCAAAATTAATTGGGAACCAGTCATTTATCTCATCTCAGGTCCCCCCCACCTCTGCTTTTTTTTAGTATGGCCAAACTATCTCTAAGGGTTCCTGAGCAGTTTGCATAAAAACAATTTTCTCTTAAAGCCACAAAATAACCTCATTGTTTTACATAGAGTAGGTCGATTGCCCTATCATATTGTAAAACTATTTCAGCTAGGGAATCTACCTGTTGATAGATCTGGGTCTATTTGGTTTTAAAAGGTACCTTTCCTGGTATGCCAATAGGCACTATAGGTCACCATTTTGTCCCCTTTGTGAGGGAGCTTCCTTCTGATCTAACATTCCAGACTTTTATTGAGAATAAGGGATGATGTATTCTCTTCTGTAACTACTTCCTGCTGAAACTAGGACATTGTTGTTGGGGCCTAGGAAGACTGGAATGACAGTCAAAGGCCAAGAGGGGATTCAAGCAATGGGGCATTTATCAGAACCATATGGTCACTGAACCAGATGAAGAGACAGGGAGCAATCACACTGGCTGGACTGGTTCACATCAGTTTTCCAGGGCTCTCTGGTTTTGTAGGACTACCTGGGACTGGCATAATGTAGATCACCTTTGGAGTAGTTTGTAGTCCACAACTGATTCCTGGATGCTATCTACCAGCTGAAAGGAAATCCACCAGGACAGATATAGAATAGGGACAGAAGTTAAAGTTTAGGAACTTAAAGAAAAATCTTACATTTGGAACTTCCAGACCAATGGTTCTGGTAGTTGAGGGAGGGGATTCCCAAGACCAGGGGAGAGAGAGAGGGAGAGAGAGAGAGACAGAGAGAGAGAGAGAGAGAGAGAGAGAGAGAGAGAGAGAGAGAGAGAGATCCCACCCTCAGGAATAGACAGGTAGGGAAACTTAGGCTGTTGATTTACAGGAGTACTTATCTGGAGTCTGTTGGACCTGTGAGAGGTGGAGCCAAATCTTACAACTCCCTTGACTCCCTGAAGCTTACATGAATTTTTAAGTTTACAAAAAGATAAAAATTTTTAGATATTTAGCATTACCACTGTAATCTGTACTGAAATCTACATTGTAGAAACAGCATCTAACAAATGTCTGTAAAACAGCTGGAGTAGCCTCACACCTTTGAGTCATAGTACAAGCTATGGATTTGGGTTTTAAAGCATGAACATTCTTTCCTCTGTCAAGAAGGTAGGATATACATATTGGACAAAAATGTTTTTAGCTCAATGAGAAGCACCTTTAAGTCTTTACTTAGATGACAACCAAAGGAAATTTAAAATCTTGAGCTTGTGATTGATAATAATAGACAGTGCTTTACAAGCTTATCAGAACTCTATTGATCAATGTTAAAACTCTGAATTTTTGAAATCTTAGTATAACAATAGCATAGAGGGAAAAAGAAATCTGAAACATTTTTTCATTCTAGATCATTTTCTTATACCTTTATAACTTGTATTTACATGTCTTAAATCATTTTCTTAACTTTTCACATCCTCAGATGTTTACAATTTGCATTTATATATCTTAACCTTTTTAGACTTTTACAATTTATATAAAATTTAAACATTTAAAATCCAATTATTTACCACTAGACACAAGTAGATATTACTGAGAGCAGTCATTGCAAAGCAAGTTCTTTTAAATAAAGGAATAGTAAAATGTTACATCTAAAACCTGCAGGAGACCTAGTAGCTCTAGAAAAAGAAAGGCCTGATTTTTACATATGAAATGTACTAATAAGGTAGTGGCAGCCTTGGGGAAGGAGTTAGGTGCCTACTGCTGCCAACCTGACAAAGCTAAGTTAGCCATCAACATCATCAGAGATCTGAGAAAGATAAATTATAGCAGGAAGTATAAACCAAATGGCCCCTGTATTGATTAAAATGACAAAGACTTACCAGCTACCAGGGAAATTACCTTGTAGGCTCCTGTGGTCTTGATGGCTTCTTTGGGGGGCAGAGGTCATAGGTCTTTGACTATTGTATAGGACAACATTATATCTTCAGTTGTTACACAAGACAGCATAGGCCTGTGGCTACCAGACCTAGAAGGTCTGAAAGATTTTCCTGTGAATGAGAAACATGGGAAAACTGACCTCACTCTGAAGAGGCAGAATAGGGCAGTCAACCCAACAGTGTCCACAGTTTTTTCAGGCCCTAACAGCAGGTGAGGCATGGAAAAGGTTTTCCAAGTTGTTAGCACCACCACAATCCAGGTCTGTGCCCCACCTCTCTTCTTTGAAGACCTTAGGGTCACCTTCAGGAGCTGTCATGTCTGTCTACCACAGGAAGCTTCTTCCATTAAACATTTTAAATACCATACTCAGCAGATCTCTGAAAAGTTTTGAAGACCACCTATTAAGTATACTTGATTTTAAATAAACTTTACTTGCTTTTAGCTATCTGCTTTAGGCTTAAACTTGAAAACATATACAAGAGGCTCAATAAAGCTAATTCCTGTAAATAAATTTCATTAGTACTTAGCATGAGAACATATTAAAGAATTTAATTGTTTATAAGGGGGACTATTAACATGCATGTCTTAATAACTAACAGTTTATAACAAGAGAGTAGCTTTTATAAGATTCAGATTTTTATCCCTGCTAGGTTTAGCCTTAAAAAAAGACAATTTTTGAATTGAAGCTCTTTTATCACCAAAATAAAACTTTAAACAATACCATCCATAGAGAGACTAGGAACCTTACTTTCCTAGTACTTACTTAGTACACCATTAAAGAATATCAGTTTCCTATATGACTTAGTTTATCAAAATAGCTAAAGCTTAACAAAGTTAGCAAAAAGAGGCTAGACATATATTCTTAAGTCAGTCCCTTTGGTAAGGAGAGATATTCTATAGGCTCTTTTCCAGACTGCTTAGGTTATTGTCTTGCTGCATCATAAGATAGGAATATTCCAGTTTCTAGTGTTTAGTGTTTGGTGCTCACAGCTGTGGCCCTAACTCTTTAGGCTTTTATTTATTTACTTTCTAAGATTACATATTAACAAAGACATCATAATATAAGACATTTTATAAACTTAAAATGTCCCATAGCCTTATAAATTTAAATATTTTAAGTTGCTTCTTAAAAAGTGTGCAGGGACAAATAGCCAAACTAGTGGAAACACATGAACTGTGAACCAATGGCTGAGGAGCCCCCATGGAACTGGACCAGGCCCTCTGGATAAGTGAGACAGTTGATTAGCTTGAACTGTTTGGGAGGCCCCCAGGCAGTGGGACCGGGACCTGTCCTTGGTGCATGGGCTGGCTTTTTGGAGCCTGAAGCCTATGCTGGGACACTTTGCTCAGCCTTGGTGTAGGGAGGAGGGGACTGGACCTGCCTCAGCTGAGTCTACCAGGCTGGGCTGACTCCCCAGGGGAGACCTTGCCTTGGAGGAGGTGGGAATTGGGGGTGGATTGGGGGGAGGGCTGGAGGTAGGAAGAGGGAGGACAGGAGAATCCATGGCTGATATGTGAAATTAAGTTAATTATAAAATAAAAATATTTTTTTAAAAAAAGTGTGCTGGGTTTTTTTATGTTTAAAAAAAAAAAAACTCCAAAATTTTCTCTTAAAAAAGTTTAAAAATCTTGGAGTTTTTTTTTTTTAAAACATAAAAAAACCCAGCACACTTTTTTTAAGCGCACGCCTTTAATCCCAGCACTCGGGAGGCAGAGCCAGGCGGATCTCTGTGAGTTCGAGGCCAGCCTGGGCTACCAAGTGAGTTCCAGGAAAGGTGCAAAGCTACACAGAGAAACCCTGTCTCGAAAAACCAAAAAAAAAAAAAAAAAAAAAAAAAATGCCATTAAAAAAAAAAAAAAAAAAAAAAGTTTAAAAATCTCCTAATTGTGGGCTTCTACAATATCAAAAAAGAAATTGAGTACAGTTTTTTTATTTCAAGAGGGAAGAAACAAGGAGGAAAGACAATCTAGACAAGGCAAAAACCAAACTCCAACAGTGCAAACAATTTGATGCTCAACATCTGGACTCCATTCACCATCCTCTAGTCTCCCCCAAGGGGCCTGGTTCATCTCTCCAGCTCCAACCTCGAAAGCACATATAACCTGTTTTCTAGGCTCCAGCTGGCTCCATTTCATTGTGGCTATTATTTCTGGTGGCTATTCATGGCACTGGAATCTAAAAAAAAAACTGCTGAGGTCCTTCTCCTGAGCTCTCTTTAGGAATTCCAGCCCTGCCACACAGTGCCAAGCCTCAGCTGCTCACAATGACCCCCTTCATGACTCTAAAACCACTACTACCTGGGTGACTCTTGCATTACCAAGTTTGGCTGCCAGCATGAGGTACATCCTTGTATATAAATTCATGCAGGTGCAGCTTTAATACCTTATTAAACAAGCATTGTTTTTAAATCTTATCTTTCATAAACCTTGTTTTTAGGACTTTGTTTTTAGGACAAGAATTATCATATAAAAATCCATCCTAACCCAAAATATCTTTGAGACCTGTTATTGCCTCCTTGTGTTGTGCAATATTAATTTAAGATGTGTTACATTTGTTTGTGCTGTAGACTATTTGTTTAATGTGCAAAGATGTGTTGCATTCTTTTATGTTGCATTTGTTTAACTCTGTGAAGTTGTGTTATTGTGCCTGTCTAAACACCTGATGGGCTAATGAAGAGTTGAATGGCCAATACAAGGCAGGAGAGAGAAATAGGCAGGGCTGGCAGGCAGAGAGAATAAATAGAAGGAGAAGAACATTAGAGGCAGGAAGAAGCAAGAGAGATCAAGGAGTGAGAAAAGAAGGGGCCAGCCACACAGCCACACAGCCACACAGCCACACAGCCACACAGCCACGGAGTAAGAGTGAAAGTAAGGTTACAGAAGTAAGAAAAGGAAAAAGCCCAGAGGCAAAAGGTAGACAGGATAATTTAAGAAAAGCTGCCTAGAAACAAGCCAAGCTAAGGCCAGGCATCTAAAGACATAATAAGCCTCCGTGTTGTGATTTGGGGTGGGGCCCCAAAAGAGTAAAGAGCCCAAAAGGAAAAAACAACCAACAAATCCTTGGTTGGTTTATACCATGTAGTCACCTTTCATCAAGATGGTGGTCAAGTCACATGGCATTTATCCTCTGTAACCTTAGTAAAGATGGCTGCCAGCTACATGTTTGCCTCCATCAGCGAAGATGGTGGCAAGCCACGAGTTGCTTACATCCCAAGATGCCATCACGTAGCATGCTTCCTTTAAGAATACCTATGTATAGATTTTTAACTATCAACTCCATGTTACAAGTTTTAAGTTAACTGTTTTGATACCAGTTTTACAAATTTTTATTTAAACTTACAAATCTCGAGGTACAGAAAGTTCACATACCAGACTAACAAATTTTGATTTATAAGATTTATAACTTAGCAAGAGTTTCAGGCAGTTAAATGAAACCAATAGTCTACTTTTATTTTTTGCTGTTTTGCTTTGCTATCTTTTCCCTGTCACAAAATCAGGTGGATCACCTAGCATGGGGCAATGAGGAAACTTTTAAATATGCAAGCTTGGCTCTAGAGAATGAAGAGCCATAACCCAACTCCAGAGCCAGCTTTTCAAGATAGTAGATCAATATAAAACAATTTTAATATTATCCACACCCAAAAGACATTTGAATCCCTGCTAAACTGAATCCAGTGACCAGAAAGCTCAGAGATAAGAAATTCTGAGCCCTGGCCTTCAAAGCAGCCATAGCAAACAGTGGCAGAGACAGCAAAAATAAAACCAATAAACACAGAGCACAGAAAGTTCAAGAGATGGAGACAGTGAAAAGTGAAACCAAAGACAACACAAACAAATACGAAACAAACAAGACACAAAACTAGAGCAAGAACTTCAGGTGGGCAGTGCAGATGTCTCGCTCTTTGCCCTGGATGGGAGAGTAATGGGTCATCAGACCCCTCCTCATCCCAGATCAGGATCGCAACAGAACCAGATGTCCCAGAAAATTACTATGACTTACCATGGGAGGCCTCTCTAGACGCTTGCTGCTTTCCTCAGCAAGGCAGTTCACTCTGATAATCTATGAAACCAAAAGCATGCCCTGAAGCATTGGAACATCTCAAGGTGTGCACCTCCTGAGGTGGCCCCTCAGTCCCAGAGTCCTGAAGTGAAGGTCTCCCTTTGGAATTTGGATAGGTGGTGTGATTTCCCTGGGTCCTCCAGAAAATTTTAATCCTACCAGGCAAGAATAAGAACACTGCCACAATTTTTGAGCCAAATTTGAAAGGAGCTTTATTAAATACTGGCCTGGACCATACCCAAGACCCATGCTCAGAATATGGCGCCAAATTACATTAGTCAGGGGCTTATAAAGACAAAACCCACAAGGCTACATACTTTCTGCCTCCATCTGATGAGAGGCAAGCATACTTCCTGCCATACTTCCTGCCTACGTGCCTTCTGCCTATGTGTGAGCAAGCATACATCATTGGGGCAACCAAGCTTGTTTACAGAAGCAAAAACACATGGCTTGTTATTTATTCCATAGAAGTATATAAACAAATAGCAACAGCCAGTTGTAATGAATAATCTGAAGTAAACTCACTCCTATCCACTACACCTGGGAGGGGCACAAAAGCCCATTCCAAGAACAATTTCGTATTTTTGAAGAAACTGAGGTCACAGACTCCTGTTTTCTTGTAGTTCTCTCACAAGCACTTGGAATTCTCCTCATACAGCTCCATTCTTGGACCATGTCCCCACAATTTGTTTTTTGCTTGTATATTATGGTTTCCAATTTTGTGCTTTTATAGGTTTTGTTTCTGTGTGTCTCCATATGTATGTTTCTTGTACTTTTTCTTTTAAAAAAAGTTCTGGGTTTTGTTTGCTTGTTTGTTTTCTAAAGAGAGACGAAAAGACAGCGAGTGGGATTGGGTGAGTGGGGAGGTGGGGAGGATCTGGGAGGAGTTGGGGAGGGGAAAACCATGACCAGAATGTATCGTATGAAAAAAGTATGTATGCATATATACACACGCATAACAGGGCTTAACAAAACATCCATAGCTGATCTAAAACAACAGTTAGGGGTTTTGTGTTAATAGCCCTTGTAATACCCTTATTCTGGGAACCAAAGAAACCTAACAGTAGGCCAGGGTGGTGGCGCACACCTTTAATCCCAGCACTCAGGAGGCAGAGGCAGGTTGATCTCTGTGAGTTTGAGGCCAACCTGGTCTACAAAGCAAGTTCCATGACAGCTAGGGCTACACAGAGAAACCTTGTCCCAAAACACCAAAAAAAAAAAAACCAAACAAACAACAACAACAACAACAAAATACTCTAACAGACAGGAGACTAATCTAGGACCTCAGAATTATTAACGAAGCTATAACTCCACTTACCTTGTGGTCTCCAACCCATATACTCTCCTGCCCAGATTCTGGAAGATTCCAGGTGGTTTACTCATATTTAAAAGATCGCCTTTTACATTTATTTTTGTAAATTTCATATATATGTACTGTAGCTCTATCACTAACCCCCTCCCTCTCCTCTTTTCAACCTGCTACCCCTCCTTTCAAATTTATGGCCTCTTGTTCTTTAATCATTGTTACATACGCATATAAATGAACAAATACATGACTACAACCTGCTGAGTTCACTTAATGTTGCTCAGGATTAGATAACATCAGGGGTTCGTCCCTGAAGAAGGATGGTTCCCCCTCTCTCAGTAGCCATCAATTGCCGGTACCTCTTCATCTAGGGGGTGTGGCCTTCTAAGATTCCCCCACCCACATTGGTGGTGTCATTGTTCAGGTGTTGCTTAGGCAGCCATAATGTTGAGATTTCATGGGTGAGGCTTCCCTGTCATATATAAAGGACACAATCTCCCAGCAGAGACGCTGGTCCTCTGGCTCTTACTATCTTTCTGTCCCCTTGTCTGAGATGATCTCTGAGCGTTCATTGTGTGGGGTTCTGTTGTACAATGAACTTTTGACCATTTGTGGCTTTCTGTAATGGTTTCTGCCTGCTGCAAAAAGCAGCCTCTTTAATGAGGGGTGAGAGTTTATCTGTGGATATAAGGATCAGTATTTAGACTGTAGTTAGAAATTATGGTTTAGGAAAGTGGCAGTAGTATGTTCTCTAGGTTCCATGACCTCACCAGTTACAAGGAGTTGGCTAAGTTTACAGTATTAGGCATGAATAATGTTTGGGTGGGAGCTCCACCTCAACCCCTGGCACCCTGGCATCCATATACCCAAAGAGTCTGGAATGTTCTGGTGGAAGATCTACCTCAACTCCCCTCTCCCATCTCTTTCCCCAAACCCACCCCTTCAAAGCCCACCAAACACAGCTCCTCCTCCAGAAAGGCTCAAGACCACTCCCACAGGGTATATAAGCTGCATCCCAGAAAACAGACTCGTGGTTTTCTGGTCTCTCATCCCTGTCTCCTCTCTGAGGGGCCGGAGAATCACCCGGGAACGCTTTACCCATTAAACCGGGGCTTTTTCTAATTCAGTCTGATTTGGTCTGATTTGGATTGCTGCGTCAGTGGAGAGGCTTATTGGGGTGCAAAAACTTATCAAATAACTCTTGCTGGGTAAGTGTAAGTACAAATAGGCAGCTGTTGGGTATTCCCCAGGACGTAAGTGCCACTATTGCACCGAAATGATGTCTCTTTCTGTATCCTTTTATACACTGAGTCCAAATATCTGTTTGCTTTTGAAGGCCTAGCCTCCCAGGTTAGCCAACTCACCTGCATAGTCCTACCCCAGTGATTCAGGGACACTCCTCATCTATTTGGCTAGGCCTTATCTAGGGACCTGCTCCCCTTCTCCAGCCCTCAAGCCAAAGTTCTCCAATATGTAAGTGACCTCCTTTTTTGTGCGCCTACAGAAAAAGATCCCCAAGTAAGAACTAAGGCACTCCTTAAATTCTTACCTGATAGAGGCCATAAGGGATCCAAAAAGAAAGTCCAATTGTGACAAATACTTAGGAGTGGTCCTATTTAAAAGAAGGGGAAATTAAATGAAGACCATGTGCTACCTGTGTCTTCCTTCCCTTTAACAAAACACACTTAAACCTCAAGGGTTTTTAGGAACTACTGGATTCTATAGGCTCTTTTTTCCAAGGAAATAGCTTGACCTCTATATCAGCTAATAAAAGAAGCCAAGGCAGGGAAGATACAAACCCTGATCTAAAGGTCCAGAGGAACTTTAGAACACCTAAACCCACCAAAACATTTTACACTGGACCCTCTCTCTGTCTCTGTCTCTGTCTGTCTCTCTCACGCTCACACATACATACACGCACCCCTCTCTCCTCATCTCCCTCTGGCCCCTCTCCCCTCTTCTGTCTCCTCTCTCTGTCCTGTTTCCCTCTCCATCTCTCTCTTCTTCTCTCTTTCACCCTCCTTCCCCTCACTTCCCCTCCATCTCTCCCTCCCCCTCTCCTCCCTCTCTCTCCCCTCATCCTCTCCTCTCCCCCTCTCTCCTCTCCCCTTTCTATGCCCTCTTTCTCTCTCCCTCCCTCCCTTCCTCCCTGTCTTAGGGTTTCTATTGCTGTGAAGAGACACCATGACCACAGCAACTCCTGTAAAGGAAAGCGTTTCATTGGGGCTGCCTTACAGTTCATGGCGGGAAGCATGGCAGCACACACGCAGACATGGTGCTGGAGAAGGGGCTGAGAGTTCTGCATCTGGATCCGCAAACAGCAGGGAGAGAGACTGTGAGCCATATTTTCTCCCACAAGGCCACACCTACTTCAACAAGGCTACACCTAATAGTACCACTCCCTATGAGCCTATGGGGGCCATTTTTATTCAAACCACCGCACTCCCCCCCTCTCTTTTTTCTCTTCTTCCCTGTCCTAGTTAAGGATACTATTGCTATGATGAAACACCATGACCAAAGCAAATTGGGGAGGAAAGGGTTTGTTTGGCTTAAGCTTCCACATCACTGTCCATCAGCAAAGGAAGTCAGGACCAGAACTCAAGCAGGGCAGAAACCTGGAGGCAGGAGCTGATGCAGAGGCCATGAAGGAGTGCTGCTTATTGGCTTGCTCCTTATAGTTTGCTCAGCCTGCTTTCTGACCCAGGACCCAGGGTGGCCCCACCTACAATGGGCTGGACCCTCCCCCATCAATCACTAATTAAGAAAATGCCCACAGGCTTGCCCACAGCCTGATTTTATGGAAGCACTTTCTCAATTGATGTTCCCTCCTCTCAGATGACTATATCTTGTGTCAAGTTGACATAACTAGCCAGCTCTCTCTCTCTCTCCCTCTCTCCCCCCCACCCCGTCTTCTCTCTCCCTCCCCTCTCATCTCTCCTAACCCTCTCTCCCCTCTCTCTCCTGTCTCTCCTATCTCTTCTCTCTCTGTCTCTCTCCCCCTCCTTCCCCCCCCCCCCCGTCCTCCTTCTCTCCTTCTCCCTTCCCCTCCCTCTCTTCTCTCTTCTTCCTCCTCCCCAGACCTTATCATTCCTGGTAATCATAAAGATCTCCAGAATGGAAGCTCCAAAAGTCATACTTTCTTAACAATGACAATAATAGTTTAAAAAGTTCTAGTTTCGCAAACAACATGAAGAGATGCATAGCTGTAAATAACACTTGTTTAAATCACCTACTTCATTCTCCTACTCTCACTTCCAGTGGAAAAAGTGCCAAGAGTTCTGTATCGGGCCACTTCTGGTCCAAGACTTAGCCTGCAGTAGAGGAGACAAGGCATTAAGGGATTTGCTTTAAAGCTGTATTTGCATACCCTCTTACACAACCTCAACAGAACATCTGCCTTCTGGTATGCCTCCCCGAGCTGCTACTACGAGTCTTGAAAAAACTCTTAGAATTTGTTACGATTGCCCAAAACAGTCTTTTGAAAAACTGTCCAGGATCAGGGAGATGACCCAAAGGATAAGCCTGATGACCTGAGTTCAATACCAGGGACCCATATAGTAGAAGAACGGAACTGATTCCTGTAAGTTGTTGTCTGACCTCCACGTGCACAGTCATTCGTGTGCACACGCAAATAAATATAAATAAATAAGTGTAATTTTAAAAACTTCAGAAGAAAAAACTGTCCTACCATCCTTAGGTTTCTAATTCCTTTCTGTCTTTTCCCACTGGAAAAGGGGAGGGTAAAGTCAGAGATCTTAAGTAGGCAAAGGCAGAGAAGGCAGCAAAGAGTCTCTCTCTCTCTCTCTCTCTCTCTCTCTCTCTCTCTCTCTCTCTCTCTCTCTCTCTCCCCCCTCCCTGTCCCCTCCCCTCTCCTTGCCCCCCCTCTTGTGTATGTGTGTGTGTGTGTGTGTGTGTGTGTGTGTGTGTGTGTGTGTGTGTGTGTGTGTGTGTACATTCCGGTGCACATAGGCTGCAACCCGCCTGCAAACACGTCTCTATGAAGAGCCAACAGAACCGGCTGCTCCCTTCCAACCCTTCCCTCCATCACCAGACCTCGCCCTTTTGCAACCTCAGCTGACACTTTTGCAGACCTCGCCCTTTTGCAACAACAGCTGACAGGGCGAGGAGATGGTTGTGCTCCTGGTGAGAGGTTGCTTCTTCATCCGGAGAGTGGGCGAATGGCGGAGGAGAACAGAGGCGTGCGCAGCTGTTTGGCGCTGCCAAACCACGTGGTGTGTGTGGAAGAGCGCGAAGGTAGCGGCTCGGGGCGCGGCTGGGGCGGGAGGGAGGCTAACCGGAAGGGCACGCTGGCGTCCCGCTCCCCGCCCCGACTCCGGCAGAACTACAGAGACGCGCTCCCAGGAACCTTGAGGTCTGCTTTGGGGAGGATTCTTGAGTGAGCTTTGCAAATGCTCTCTGGGGTTGCAGGGCGCACGAACCTGGAGTCTGGTGCCCCCTAGTGGACTAGAGCTATCTGAACGTGAAGCACCTCGAGGATCGGAGTGGACTGTGTGGCTCAAAACCAGAACACCTTTGCCACCTGCCCCACTGCCTTCAGAATGTGGAAAAGGGACCTCGGGCATCACCGAGGCTCAATGTGGAGGAGCACAGGGCCATCCTGCAGGTGGTCACCGAGGAGGAGAAACCCAGTTTAAAACTGACCACAGGCTGGTACAGGCAAGATTGCTTAAGCATCTGTAATCCCAGCACATGGGAGGCTGAACCGTCAGGATCACAAGTTCGAGGCCAGCCTGGGATCACAGTGTCAGATCTCACAAAGGACCTTTCCCCTCGGGAAGATCTATGTCTCCTTTCCCTGGCCACAACCCTACTAGACTAGAGGAATTTGTAACAGCATCGTCAGTTTTACTAAACAAGGGAGCACCGAGGGTTGTAAGAGCCATCCAAAGCACCTGGAGTCACGTATTTGAAAGCAGGCATTGGAAAACATAAAATGGGGTCACATATATAGTCTGCCAGTAAATTGAGACCCATCAAGTCATCAGTGACATATGCCCAGACCCAGGACATAGACTTGGGAAGCAGACAGGAGAACTACATTATTAGTACACCACTTAATAGCTTTATTGCCTCGGGAAGTCCTGTCCCAGTCCCAGTTTCTTGATATGTAAGAAGGGTAAAACCTAATGTGAAGCTCAGTGTGGTGTGTGTGGTGCAAACCTGTAATCCCAGCACGTGGAGACAGGGGATCAACAGTTCAAGGTCATCTGCAGCTGTGTTACAAGAGTGTGTTTGAGAGTCTCATCTGGGATACGCGAGACAAGCAATTCTGTCTCAAGAATGAAAGAGAGAGGGAGCTATGGGGAGAAGCCCTGGTAGATGTTCCTAATGGATTAGTAAAAGGATTAGAGGACACATGTATAAATAAACAGGAGCTACTGCTATTTATGCATATGTTGACCCTCGTTCTCAGTTCCCATGTGTGTCTTTGTTGGGGGGAAGACCTAAAGAAGTTTATGGCAAAGCCAAAAAAAAAAAAAACTAGTAAAATTAAAATTTTTTTTAAAAAAAGCAAGGGTTGGGTGTGGTGGCGCATGCTTCTAATCCCATTCATTACTCAGGAGGTGAGGCAGATAGATCACAAGGAGTTCCAGGACAGCCTGGGCTACAGAGTGAGACCTTGCCTCAAAAAAACAAAAACAAAAACAAAAAACAAAACAAACAACAACAACCAAAAAAAACCCATAAAACAGAACCAAACAATCTCCCCAAAAGAAATGAGTAAGGCATGCTGACATGCTAATCATCATTCTAAACTCAGGGATGTGAGCTTCAAATGTGGTTGTGACTTTCCTGGCAGCTGGGGTGCACAGTTGCTCACATCGGACAGAGGGAGGGACTAGCAGCACTCCTCGAAGGAGCTGGGGGCTCTCCTGGTTCCAGGTTTCAGAAGCCGTGTCTCAGGGGGAGATGTTCTGGCTTGACTTATGAACGACCTACAAGGTTTTCTTTCCTGGGGCTTTCCTAACAACAGGAGCGGGATCTACCAATTGGGACTGTGACGACTTCTGTAGCAATTACTAGTCATAATCCTTCCAAGTCCCTGCTCTGTTAGGAGGTCACCCAGAGGACTTGTAGACTCGCTGTTCCCACACCCAAGGAAATATTTTGTTACCCACACAGAAGCCTCAGATTGACAACAAATCTCTTAAGCATATAGGGGTAGTTTTAGATTAAATAGCTAAATTCAAAATGTCCTTCCCTTTCTGTAGCCCAATTCCGGCCACACTACTCTCCCATCAAAGGCCACGGTCACCTTTCAGAAGCATTTATATAGGAAGTGAACAGCCTTTGCCAAAAAGTACTACAGGTGAGCTTTCCCAGCCAACCGCTAAGGCACCTCAACTAATCTGCATATGCTAACGTGGGTTCCAGGAAAGGCGTCAAAATAAGCCCCTGTCCTCCCTCGCCTTTACTTTAATCCCCACATAGGTTTTGCTTTTACCATATGGTAATTATTTCCAAATCACAAGTGCAAACACTCACTCTGATTGGAAAATTAGCAGATTTCAAACTCAGGTAATTTGTCCCTAATGAGGAACTTGTTGAACTGAATTTAACAATTAACTCGAACACCCTTTGCTGCCTGCCGCTGAGGCAGGGAGTGGGAGACAGAAGGGCAAGTCAAGGGCTAGGGTCCAGCAAGTGAAGGCTGGGATGGGGCCAAGTGTGTTCATGAGACTTAGAACCGCAGAGACTTGGCTGCTCAAAGAGCTGTATGTGTGTATAATGGGCCCAACTTGGGATGTATATGAACATAGAGAGGCTAATACAGAAAGTCTTCTGTATCCACAAGCCGCCTCCCATTGCTATGAGGAGGTGTTCGGTTTCCTCAGATCTCGACCCCAGCAGCAATCTCGGTTCTTGTGCTCCCAAAAGAGAAGAACTCAGATAGGACACAGTAATAGATAAAGCAGTGAAGGGTTTAATTAGAGCAAGCAAGGAAGCAAGAATGAACACTTTCTGGGGGGGAAAGTGGGTCTAGCCGAGCAGCCGAGACCTCCATCCTAGCAGGCATGGGACTTCCATCTCTCCACTACCTGTTGTCCCTCCCTGTCCCTCTCCCAGGGTAAGCACTTCATGGAAAGGGATGTGCTCTTCATGGAAGCCCACTTTTACCCAGAATCCAGTCCAAATAGATATATAAGATACAAAAGTATTCATAGGGGTTTAAGTACCCTTAAAATTGTTGAAAAGTTTACTAGGGAAAAGAGTAACAGTATTCTGTGCATGCTCCCTTGGAGATGAAGTCTTGAAGATGCTTTAATCTGCCCTTTCTAGCAGCATGGACCACTTTCTCCCATTGTCCCTTCCATGCTGATTTGGGGAAGTTTGGGAAGCTGGACTCTCTGGAGTCTAGAGCATCAGTTAACCACCACCATTATCTTTATACCGTTTCAGGGACCTGATCAAGCCTGCATGTTGTTCCCTAGGTCTGCTATTTCACGCTGTATAAATGGAACATGTTTAAGAAAATCAGAAGCAGTACACAGACGTTGGTGCTGTTGGTCACCATCTCCTGGAGCTAACCTCCTGTTTAGCGCCACCACTATCCACTCATGACTGATCTGGTATCAGCTGTGCAGAAGGAACTGCAGACCTGGAAGACAGATAAGCAAGAGGACTGGAAGGAAAAGCAAAAAGAGAGGGAGGACCCCACCCCACCCCACCCCCGCCATTACTCAGGCTCCCAAGTCCCTTGGGAAGGTGAAATAGATGAGTTTTAGTTAACTGCTGGGATGGTTAGGGTCCCCTTCCTGGGCATTTTGCATGTGATTATGCAGAGCTTTTCAAACCATTCTCTTTTATCCTCCTTGCTCCGTGCCTGGTGCCCCTTAGTTGCTGCAGATCACAACCCAGGTAAGCACAGACTGAGGATTTCAAGTTCACCCAAGCATAGGGATCATCACTGTTACTGTGAGCTTCAGTGAACTTCAGCCGCAAGACCTGGCACTCAGTTCGTGCTTGAGACTGTTCTGCATTCTGCTTTGCTCCTTCATCCTTTCAGAATGCCAGTAACACCACCCAGAAAAAAAAAGCCACAAACCACATGTGGCTATGAAGCACTCCAAAGGTAACTAGTGAAAATAAAGAGCTAATTTTTAAATTTTGTTTACCTGAAATTATTTTAAAACCTAACAATTGCAGCACACGCCTTTAATCCCAGCACTCAGGAGGCAGAGGCAGGCAGATCCCTGAGTTTAAGTCCAGCTTGGTCTACAGAGTGAGTTCCAGGATAGCCAGGGCTACACAGGGAAACCCTGTCTCCAAAAACGAAAACTAAAATAAAAGTTAAAAATTGATACTTGATTCACTTATAATTATCAGGAAAATTATAAGTACATTTGAGAATTGACTCTGCATTTTCTTCTTTGGTAATGAAGATTATTTATGGATACATGTGTGTCTGTGTGGATGGGCACATGCGTGCACATACTGAGGAAGGCAGAAGAAGGGAGCTGGATCCCCTGGAGCTGAAGTCACAGGCAGCTGTAAACCACATGACATGGGAGCTGAGAACATAATTTGGGTCCTCCGGAACAGCGGCCAGCATTCTTACCACTGAGCCATTTCTCCAGCCCCCCCCCCTGAATCTGCATTTCAACTGTAAGTTTTCTACAAATCTCAATTCATAGCATGTATTTTTGTGTGTCTGTGTGTGTATGTGTTGGGAGTCGGGGCCACTTGGAGGCTAGAGGACAACCTCACCTGTCTCTTCCAGGTACCATCTACCTATTTTTTTTTAAGCAAGGCCTCTTACTGGCCTATAACTTGTGAAGTAGGCTACACTAACTGGCCTGCGAGCCCCAGAGACCTGCTTGCCTCTGCACCGCGATGCCAGTTTGGTGGTTGTTTTGTTTTGTTTTTTTCCTTCTTCATGTGGTTTCTGGGATACCAGACTCAGTTCATCAGGCTTGCAATGCAAGCAAGCACTTAACAAACTGAGCTATGAGCCCAGCCACATGTCAAGTATATTTTATGAAAATTTAGCATCTCAATTGGGACAATGTCTATAGAGTTAGAACACTGGGTCTGAAAATATACAAGGTCTCATTGAGAATTTGTAAACATTGATAAAATGGAAATGATAATATTTTAGATGGACTGGACTGGACCAAGTAAGTTTTATTGAAGTAATGTCTCTTGTTTTGTTGTTTGTTTTTAATTTTGAAAATGTGGCTATGAGAAAATTTAAATCACACATGGGGCTATGTTCCATCCTATGTTACTGCTATGTGAGATGAGATCACGCTATCTAACTGGACTGGCCTCAAACTACTCATCTTCCTGCATCATCCTCCAACTGTTGAGATTATAGTCATATGCCACCACACCAGGATTCCAATAGGATTTTCAAAGCACTGTATGGCAAAGGCACTCCCTTCATGTATCTTCAAGGAATTAGCTTGTTCTCAACATCCCTTGTGACAAAAGGCCCGCTTTGGCCACATATATCCTGCTGTACTAAGGCTACCTGGTTGTTACTGGATGCTCATTTCTGAAACCATCTTCTGTGTAACCTGTTGAATAATTCTGGTCCACCCACATTCATATAACCCTCTCACTATCAACACACTTTGAAAAGGTTCTGGAGACGTTCCCGCCCAGAGTCGCCCCGGTTTCCTGCTTCAGCAGTGCTTGAACCAAACCGGTGCTCGACCGCTCCGACCCCAGCTGGCTGCTCCGAGCCAGAACCCTTTGCAACCTCGTCTCTCCGCTGCTCCAGCGTCGCCACCTCGCCTCGCCCCGCCGCTGCCATGACCACCGCGTCTCCCTCGCAAGTGTGCCAGAACTACCACCAGGACTCGGAGGCTGCCATCAACCGGCACATCAACCTGGAACTGTATGCCTCCTACGTCTATCTGTCTACGTCTTGCTACTTCAACCGGGGTGATGTAGCTCTGAGGAACGTTGCCAAATACTTTCTCCACCAATCTCATGAGGAGAGGGAGCATGCTGAGAAACTGATGAAGCTACAGAGCCAACGAGGTGGCCGAATCTTCCTGCAGGATATCAAGAAACCAGACCGCGATGACCGGGAGAACGGGCTGAATGCAGTGGAGTGCGCACTGCACTTGGAGATGAGTGTGAATCAGCCACTACTGGAACTGCACAAACTGGCTGCTGACAAAAACGGGCCCCCCTTGTGTGACTTCATTGAGACCCATTACCTGAATGAGCAGGTGAAACCCATCAGAGAACTGGGTGACCACGTGACCAACCTCGGCAAGATGGGAACCCCTGAAGCCGGCCTGGCGGAACATCTCTTTGACAAGCACACCCTGGGACACAGTGATGAGAGCTAAGCTGACTTCCCCAAAGCCACGAGTGACTTCACTGGTCACTGAGGCCGTGCATGCATGTCGGACTGCCTTTATCTTTTCTATAAGTCACACCAAAACATCCGCTTAAGTTCTTTAATTTGTACCGTTTCTTCAAATAAAGAATTTTGGTACCAAAAAAAAGAAAAAAAGAAAGAGAGAGAAAGAAAGAAAGAAAGAAAGAAAGAAAGAAAGAAAGAAAGAAAGAAAGAAAGAAAGAAAGAAAGGAAAGAGAGAGAGAGAAAGAAAGAAAGAAAGAAAGAAAGAAAGAAAGAAAGAAAGGAAAGAGAGAGAGAGAAAGAAAGAAAGAAAGAAAGAAAGAAAGAAAGAAAGAAAGAAAGGGTTCTGGAGGCATGATTTTTGAAAAACTAATTTTGAAAATAAATAAATAAGTAAATAATGTTGAGGCCAGAGAGATGTCTCAGAGGGTAAAAGTGCTAGCCACACAAGCATGACAAGGCAAGTTCAATTCCCAAAACTCATGTAAAAATGCAGGTGTTCTGGCCAACAGCTGTAACCCCAGTGCTCTCTAATACGAGATGAGAGGTGGAAACCGGAGAATAACCCTGGAGCTCAAGAGTTATCTCCCCTGGAGTACACAGCACACCAGCAGAAACAGCAAGAGAGACCCTGCCTCAAAAAAAAAAGGTGTAAGGCAGATCCCAAAAGCAGTCATCTGATCTCTACAAATACTTATACTTACACACATAAGAAATAAATAAATTGATTAATAATTAATTTTGAATGGTGAGTAAGAATTCATCTTGAATTAGGAAAGAGAAGCTGGGTGGTAGTGGTGCACGCCTTTAGTCTCAGCACTCAGGAGGCAGGAGAATCTCAGTGAGTTTGAGGTCAGCCTGTTCTACATAGTGAGCTCCAGGATGACCAGAACTATGAGAAACATTGTCCAAAAAAGAAAAGAAAAGAAAAGAAAAGATGTTCCAGGTTCTCATGACACTAAAGTCAAGTGAAATCATAAACTGTAGCTGGCTCCAGGATCTGGGTTGATGTCTGTGGCTCCTGTTGCCACTAGGGGCTATGCAGATGTCCAGTGTCTGGACAGCCAACTGAGACCATGTTGGTGTCTGAGGGCCTTGCTGCCACTGGGCCATACTGATACAGGGTGGCCTGTGCTGCTATTGGGGCCATGGTGACATCCATGTTCCTGCTGCAGTTGGGGTTTGTGATGATGTCCATAGCCCGTGTTACCACAGGTGGGTCATAGGAACCATGCGTTGAAATCTGAGGGCCATGCTGAGCTGGCCCCACCCTTTACTGGACCTCAGATGGTTGGCCCTCCCCCACTCAGGATAGATGGCTCCCACCCCTTACCAAGGTTATGGAAGAGCTGGCCCTGATGGCATGGGCATAGAGAACTGGCTCTGCCCCTTGCCTGAGAGGACAGTCCCAGTGGCTCAGACCCACCAGCTCAGCTACCACCCAGACCCACATCCTATCATTCACCCCATCTATGACCTGCTGGGGTGTCTGCAGGGTCTGGTCCTGTGAGATCGGCAGGATCTCCATGACTCAGGACAACAGCAGGATATCCAAGAGTTTTGGTGACGGTCCAGTGATAATGGCATGCCAAAGGCTTTGAACCAGACCAATGACTCACTGCAATGAACATTCTCGGGTGGGGCTGATTGGACAAAGGGGTGTACTGCGTAACACAACACATGCCATGGATTAATGAAGAGGTCTTGGAAAGACAGAGGAGAGGTGTGGGTTTTGTTTTGTTTTGTTTTGCATTTAATTAATTTTGGGGGTGTCTTTTGGGAGGCATGCTACAAGGGTGAGGGAAAGATATGGAGGGTCTGAGAGGTAAGCATGATTTGGAAGCATGATGTGAAACTCCCAAAGAATCAATAAAAATTATGTTAAAAAAATAAAATGTAGCCAGCTAATATTCTTAATAGGAACAATACACAAAGTGATAACAGGGTGGAGATAATTCCAGGGAAATAAACAGATGCCACTAACTGGTAATTGGAAACAAAGATGAATTTACTTGCCTGTCTGAAAAGAAAGGGCACATCTCTCAAACAAAACATTCTGTTTATTGTACCTGAATGGACCAGTTACAGAGCAAAGGGAGGAAGGACAGGAAATCCGGCCGCACGCTGAGATCTGCTTGGCTCTGAAGGCTGAGCTTGAGTTCTTTGCAACTGTTCACTGGACCAGTTCACTTCTTCCAAGTGCAGGCTCCACTCCCAGCGATGTCCAGGATGCTCCAGTCAGCTCTCTGTCCCTCTGGTGGCCGAGGGGACCAGCTGGCTTGAAGGAGGCCAAATCTTTGTTGAAGAGCACCAGCAGGACCTCGGTATAGGTTTATGCCGGTGACATCACGGTCACTGTCCCTTCAGAACCGACAGGCCGAGTTTCCACTTCTTAGGGCAAAAGGCAAATAAACATACATGTGCACTTACAAAGGCAAAGGTCATGTAGGCAGATTATCCTTAAGAGTTACTAAAGAACAAAACATAACCAGTAAAATGACACCTGTACATGAATGTGGGCAGCACCACTACCCACAGTAGCCAAAAGGTGGAAACAACCCAAACACAGATAAACAGATCAGGCTCCAAGTGCTGGTACATAGTACAAGATGAATAAACATCAAACACGTGCCAGGCAAAAATGTAGACACAAAATGTACAAAGTTGTACAAAACACTGTAGAATTCACCTAATATCAACCCCGACAACTATTAAATCCATAGGGCCACGGAGCAAACTGGTGGTTGCCAGTAGCTGAGGGAGGACAGGGGGAGGATGCTTTCCTCCGCAGTGCTTAATAGGTCCAGGACTTCTTTGGAAGTGCTGAGCATGTCTTGGAAACAGACAGAGGGGCTGGCCGCACAGCACCGCCACCGTCATAAGTGCTAAGGTATTTATGGGACCGTCAGTGTTACCTTGGCACAGGTAAACGTTTGTTACAGAACTCATCACACCTCGACTCTCTCATATTCTGGTTGTGAGCCTAGCCTTTACCGGCTGAGCCATCTCTCCAGCCCAACACACCTCGACTCTTTCATATTCTAGTTGTGAGCCTAGCCTTTACCGGCTGAGCCATCTCTCCAGCCCAACACACCTCGACTCTCTAAGGGAATAAAGAAAAAAAGGACAGAACAGTTCAGTCCATTGAAACAAGGAAAACTGGGGTGGGGTGATCTGGCAGAGGGTGTTGAACAACTGATGAGGAATAAACAGAGTCAGGGGAAGGGCAGAGGAAGAGGGCATCTCACCTAGCAGCGTCCGAAGGCTGTGGGCGCTGCAGAAGCAGACCAGAAACCTGAGTTTCCAAGTGCTTATTTCCTTCGTCCAAGTAACCTAGAACGTTCTAAAACATGTAAAGGGAGAGCCACAGCAAGCCATCCCAGATTGCCTCTTTAAGGCCAGTGGCAGGGTCTGGAGGAGAGCTGGGGTCTGCCTGAGCACCGAGTGCAGGGAAACCTTCCAAGGGCTGGACCGGTCCTAAACAAATCTGCTACCGACTCCCTCGCACAGGGGTGCGTGTCCAGGGGATACTCAATTTCAGTGTGACCACCTTCCTCTGCTCTGGTCTCCTTTGGTATTAGTTTTTCACAGTGTACTTACAGCGATTGCATTTCACACGCTGCACACAGGCCTTTTAAACTAAATTCCCCTGAAAGACATTTCTCTGGTTCACAAGTCAATTCCTTATGTATTTAACACAGGGAAATGATTTTTACAAAGCACCGACCTTCTGTCACAAGGCACAACATGCACGAACCTTGAGGACATCATGCCAAGTGAAAAGGCTGCCTGATATAATAGCCACCTCATGTTTCCACGCATGTGAGGTACTGGGAGCACTCAGACTCCTGGAACCGTAGTAAAGGGTGGCAGCCAGGGGCAGGGACAGGAAATGGGTGATTTGATGCTTAACAGTACAGTTTCAATCCTGAAAATATGAAGTTCTAGAACTATGTTGCACAACGTTGGGATTGTACTAATACTGAGCTGTGTCCTTAAAATTGTTTAAATAGGCCGAGCAGTGCTAGTGCATACCTTTAATTCCAGCACTGAGGAGGTAGAGGCAGGAGGATTTCTGTGAGTTCAAGATCAGTCTGTTCTACAGAAGGAGTTCCAGAACAGCTAGAGCTACACACAGAGAAACCCTGTCTCGGGGGAAAAAAGAAAAAGAAAAGTCATTAAGGACAATACACTCCTTCCAAAAATTTTTTTTCTTAAAACAGCAAAATGTGTGCTTGTTTTTAATCATTTACAAATAAACCTCTAAATCATTGCTAAGTGATTAACTTAAACTATATTGTTGCAATTTTAATAGAAAAGACAATCTGGAAGAAACTAGAATTAATATAGTTTAGATGTAGATACACATAAAAACACTACAATAAACTTGACTCTATCAACAACAAAGAGAGTAAGAAATAAAATAGCATCAGTTTTAAAAATTCATTCCTGTGTTCTATGTACAATTCTAGTATTGAGCTTTTTTGTTTTTAAACTGTAAAACATTGGTACATTAAAAACACCAAAATTGAAGTAAAAACTGAGAATTGATTTAGCTCAGTGATGCATTTTTGAGAGAGAGAGAGACTATGGCAGGACTTAAATGACTTTGGGGTGGTTGGTGGACCTCCTCTCCCCTCCCTGTACCTCTGCACTGGCCACTGCTTGTCCCTGATGCCTATGCTGAGGGGCTGCTCTGGGCACAGCCACTATATGGGGCACGAATCTCAGCTGCACATTCTAGCCCTGAGCCTACGGCTGTGCTACCCAGGCAGCAGGGTGCTGGAAGCTCTGTGAAGGAAGAAGGGTCTGTCCAGGACTCTGGGTACAGCCTGCCTGACATACCACAGTTGCCTGAGGATGGTGAGCCCTCCTACTCTCAGCAAGATTAAAGAGACCAGTTGGCTGAGTTGGCACTACCCTCTGCTGAAAGCTAGATCTCTGGTTGTACCGGTAAGGTAGTGGCACTGGCTGTGGAGGGACAGAAGCCCTAGGTGGCTGATGCTGTTTTGGAACGAACATATACAAAGGCTCTGGCTGCTGGGGCCACTGCAGCTCTGGCTGTGGATACAGCCCTGGCTGTGGATACAGCCGTGCCTGGGACAGCTGCTGCTATGGTTGCTGTGGCTGCAACCATGGCTGTGGCTGCTGTATTTGTGACTCTGGGTGCAAAATGACAGAGCCAGGTTGAAGCCTGACAGTTACGGAGCCTGAAGTATTTTTGACAATTTCACAGATGTCTGCTCAGAGCACTGTGGTGCTCTGATCTGGGTACTGGACATCTGAGCTCTAGGAGGCAGAAAGCCTCTGGAAAGGGTTTCTCTAAATGCGGGGGCACTAGTGGGGAAGCGCCACACCTGGGGTGGACTACTCTTCAAAACAGGGGCTGCCTGTGCTAGGACCAACAAATTGATGACATTTTGGCCAGTGCCACTGCTGGGGCCCTAGGTGGCTGGCCGGCTCTCTGATGAGCTGGCACAGGGCTGGACAGCTGGAGGAAGGGTGTTAACACTGCTCACTGCCCAGGAGATTTGCTGAGCCAGGCTGGCTGATTTGAGAGAAGGGAGCAAGTCTCGGAAGCTTCCTACCTCTGCCTGCTACTGAGGGAGGGCTGATTGCTGGAAAGCCTGTCCTGAGGTGGGGCAGTGTCAACAGTGGGGCTGGAGTCTTAACTCTCATCTCTAAGACTGGGGATATCCCTGAATGCGATTTGGCCTTCCTCCCTAGGGAGGACTGGCCAAGATAGATGGAGTCAGTGGGTCCCTGCAGCCTTCTGCCTGAACACTCAGCCTTGCTCTGGACAGACCCGTGGCACACACGCAATGCCTTCCAAGACTGAATCTTTTCCCCAGCTTTAGAACCATCACTTGGGGCAACCTGGGGAAGATAGATCTGGCTATCACATCTGCCCTCTGTTGGTGGCCCTATTTCAGGAGAAAAAAAATGGGTCACTAAGGGACTGAGTCATACTTGGCTTTGTTTCCCATGGCTGACTGCCCTCTTCACAATCAAATACATAACTATATTTTACCTCCGGAGCTGGCCAGGTTGTTGATACTGAGTCATCGTGGGACACGGACGGCTTTCCTCTAGCATATTTCTGCACGTCCACCTCTGAAGGGGCCACCAACTCACAGGGTCTCTGCTTCCACATATCCACACACTTTCCTGCCTCAGCAATCTTCAGGTCATAGTCACCTGGTTTTCTCTCTGCTCGTTTTCTGCACGCAATCATTGTTGTAACATCAGGAGGACTTGTACGTATATACTTATCTCCCTCCAGTTCTTGATAGGGCCACTCATGACTCGTGAAGCTTTGTTTCATGGAGTCTGTCATCATCTTCTGCTCATTAAACAACAGTCTGTTGGTCGTGCAGGAGACAGCAACAGAGGGATCCAGGCACAGTGGCTCTGCTGTAGCTAAGAGCAGTTGGCTCTCAAGCTCAAGTTTTTCTTCCTGGGTCCACTGACGGTTGTCATTTGTTATGGACTCTACGTCACTCACTAGAGTCTGCATGGTTGGCCGTAAGAGAATATGCCGAGTTTGGTAAGCAAGAGAGGGCACAGTAGACGACGCAGCAGGCTCTGGACCAGGCTCCTCAGGAGGGTAGATGCTACCGCACTGCCTGAAGTCTCGGATTTCTGCTATGACACACCCATGGTGAAAAACATTCACAGGAGACTTTTCCAGGACATCAATCAGAAAAGAAGGTAACTCTTCAGCATCCAAATATTCAAGCAGTTTCTGTCCTACATAAGACACTGGAAGGGGCTCTATAAGGGCTCCATCTTTGTCCTTGAGCATGAGAGAATAGCCCTGATTTTCGGGGTACAGGTTGACCACTAAACATGGCAACGCTTCTCTCTTCATCAGCTTCTCTAGCAAGTTGACATTGCTCCGAAGGCCCTCTGCCTCAGGCTCTTTTTCACATTCCTCAACATAAATGTCATACAGTTTTTCCTGAAGAGATTTTTCCCCATTAGATGCGGGTCTCGCTGGAGGGGGCTGCTGCTGGACAGTCTCAATAATATCACCTGCCCGCTCCAAAGCCTCCTCTACATTTCGCTCCATCCTAAGAGCAAGTGAGGGCCCCTAAAGAAAAGAAGACGCCACGTTCAAGAGAGGTGGAAATCACGGCTGTCAGCCGTCATGCATTCCTGTGACTCCATTACAACCCTAATTAATGGGGCCACCAAGAAACCCGCCTCCCCACCTCACACGGGCCTCACGCGGCCAGCATCCTCACTGCTGAGGTAACGGGGTCTAGAGGCTTAGGCCGCAGCCCCTTAGTTCACGGCCTATGTCCGGTAGTCGCCGGGAAGCCCCCCACCTCAGGGATTAGCAAAAAAGGCCTGAGAAACTGAGGAGGCCACTAACTTCTTCAGTTTCTGAGAATTCGGTACCTGTGGCTGTCACTGACACTGCCAGCCCTGAGTCCTCCGGAGGACGGGAGCGCGTGGACGAGGCCCAGACCTCAAGTTCCTCACAAAGCAGGAGCACACGCCGGGGTCCCACTTCCTTTCTGGGGCGCACGCGCACCCCTCGCAGGGGATGATGGGGGGGTTACACTTCCGCTGGCAAGCTGAAGGTTGCGGGGTAGGGCGTGGAGCACGCCTTCCATGGCACTTGAAAAGCTATACGTACCTCAGCGAAGCATAGGCAAAGCAGCAAACACGAAGACCGCTTGGTTAGGACTTGATTGTCACCAATTTGGACAGGAACGTCATGTCCACAGTTGACAGCCATGCACAGTTGTAATGTCTTGAGAGGACCTTCAAGAACTGAAGGCAGGTGTGGTGGCGCATGCCTTTAGTCCCAGCACTCGGGAGGCAGAGGCAGGCAGATCTCTGTGAGTTTGAGGCCAGTCTACAGAGCGAGTTCCAGGACAGCAAGGGCTTCTTACTGAGACCCTGTCTTAAAAGAAAAAAGAACTGAACTATGTCTGGAATCTCATCTCATGTTTGGTTACTCCTGGTAGCCATCACAATTTAAACTTACCCAAGGAATTCCACTTTGGAAGCCCTTACAAAGACAAGGATGTTGTATACTTAATGTAAACATTGCAATGCTTCATTCCATTTGCCTGTTACCTCCTGCCCCACGGTTTTCACATAGTTGGACACATAACATGGTGCTCCTATCCACAACCATTTATTTTGTGTTTCTTTATGCATTTCGGTTTTTCTTTGTTTTGATGAAAGATTTGGAGTGGTATGATTATTTGACTGTGAGACCAAAATGAGAACAAAATGCCTCCACCTTAGAAATAAGGCCTAAGCTTTCTCCATTTTAGGTATAGGCCTTGAGTTACTGGAACAGGCCTTGAGTTACTGGAACCAGTCAACCCAGATTCCAGAAATTAGAAAGTGCAAAGTACAAAGTCACAAGGTAGTCATTCTGTGATGACTGTTTAACCAAGGAATGTTCCAACCCTGGTTTCCATGGTAACTGATCACAGAAATGTCCCCACCTGAGGGCAACCAATGAGAGATGGTGACGGGCAACCACCCCCTTAGAAGTGAGATTAAGCCATGATTTCTAGAAAGTCCCTAGAAGCAAGCCAATCAGAATTGTACCCGTACTAGCACCCCTAAATGATGTAACCTTGTGGGTTTTGCCTTTAAAACCTGAACTTGCAGAGGGGCGGGCACTTCCTCCAGCCTCTACTGCGTCGGATGGCTTGATGAGGTCCCTGCCGCACGGCTTGAACTGCTTCAATAAACCTTGCTTTGGCATTCTGGCATGCTCATCTTCAGTGATCTCTCTGAGGGTCGATCTGGGCACAACATGACTACTTAAAGGCTTTTGTCTTCTAATCCCTTTCTAGACCTGTTGTTGCCAGTCTTTTTGAACAGGTGCTTAAAAGATTCTCTAACGTTTCAATGACATATATTCACAATAAGACATGTAATGACAAGAATCCAAGATAAGTTCCTGAGACTCCTAAAGTATAGATGACTTTAAAATAAACATTTTTTTAAATTATACAGTCTTTGGTAATTCATATATAAATACAATGTACCTAGAGCATATCAACTCCCGCTCAACTGGGTACATTCTATTCCATTGGATTAAAAGTGCTTTTATTAAGTTTTTTTTTGATGTCTTTAAAAAAGAATTTTTTTGAAATAACTAGATTTTTTTATGGCCAAAGGTATACCTTGCTATTCATCCCACAGAAGATTAGTCCTACAATATAGTAAAACAAAAACAAAACCTTCAAAAATAAAACATTAAGAAAGTAAATAATTCAATTAAAGATAGGCTATGGAACAAAAAAGAAGAAATACAGATACATAGGAAACATTTTTAAAGTGTTCAACATCCTTTACCATGAGGTAAATGTAAATTAATACTACTTTAAGATTGCACTTCACCCCAATCAGAATGACCAAGATCAATATAGCAAATGACAGGACACGCTGGCAAGGTAGCAGAGAAAGGGGAACACTTATTCATTGCTGGCGGGAGTACAACCTGGTAGAACCACTACGGAAATCAGTGTGGAGGTTCCTCAAGAAGCTAAAAATTGTTGCCAGGAATGATGGTGAATGTCTTTAATTCCAGCACTCAGGAGACAGAAGCAGGCAGATCTGGATGAGTTTGAAGCAGAAGTAGGCAGATCTCTGTGGGTTTGAGGCCAACTACAAAGTGAGTTCCAAGATATCCAGGACTCTGACACAGAGAAACCTTGTATCAAAAACAAAAACAAAAACAAAAACAAAAACAAAGCAAAACAAAAGCTAAAAATTGATTTACCAAAATTTCCAGCTATACCACTCTAGGGCAAATATACAAAGGGCTCTGATTCTATTACAAAGATACTTGCTCATCCATGTTCATTGCTTCTCTGTTCATAATAGCCAGAAATTGGAAACAGCCCAGATTTCCATCAAATGATGAATGGATAAATAAAATGTGGTACATTTACACAATGGAATACTATTTAGCTGTTAAGAAAAAATGAAATTATGAAGTTTTCAGGTAAATGGATGAAGGTAGAAGCAATCATTCTGAGTGAAGTAACCCAGACCCCCAAAAGACAAATATTGAATGTTTTCTCTTATATGTAGTTGTTAACTTTTAAGCTTTAGACATGTGTGTTTCAATCCAAATAAGCACAGAGGTTAGGTAGCTAGTAAGGGAGCATGGGGAAGGGTGGGCTCTTCCAAGGAAGAAGAAATAGAGTATAGTATTATAGGAAGGTAAAGAGAAACGAGAATAGGAGGATTAAATGGGCAGGAGGATGGAAAGGCAGGGAAAAGGAGGAAACATAAGGAGCGACAACTAACAGCGAAGGCCTGTTCTATGAGATAGAAACCATACTTGACACTGTTAATGAGGCCAAGAACCTAAGACTAGATAGGTAATGGGCTTACAAGAAAGCCTACTACTATTATTCTGCTAAAGAAACATAGAATAAAATGACTCCTAACAGCGTATTGCTATACCCATAAATCAGTGCATCACTCAACCCTCATCAGAGAGGCTTCTTCTTCTTGAAGTAGATGGAAATTAATACAGAGACCCACATGTTGACAGATTTTTTTTTAGTGGGCAGCCAGATGAAGAATAACCAGGATGGGTATAATGGAGATGAGGTAATGAGTGTGTGGAAGAACATAGATTAAAAAATATGGGTTAATCTAAGTTATAAGCACTAGTTAGAAACAAGCTTAAGCTAAGGCTGAGCTTTCGTAATTAATAATAAATCTGTTTGTGTGTGTGTGTGTGTGTGTGTGTGTGTGTGTGTGTGTGTGTGTGTGTGAACTGGTGGCCCAAAAAGAGAAGTTTATCTACATAAAGTGCAGGTTGGACCTTCACTTCAAGTTACAGTGTATAACACTTCCCATGTTCATGGTAACACCTCAGATTAGCTTTAGAATTTTGAGTCTTTTGTAATAACTTCCTCTTTGCATCATGGTCGTGAAAATGCCCAAACCAGTTGTAAGAACATTGCTTTAAGTCCTGAGAGCATTAGCTAGTATCTTTTGAGATAGGAGAAAGATGGATGCCCCAACATTGCGAAGGAACCTTGGGTGACTGTCCAGGCAGCCAGCTATTTCTGTCATTTATATAGTTTTAGAAGTTGTTTGCTCTGCATCTCCTGGCATCTTTATCTTTCTTCTTCCCAGAGTCCTCTCTGTCCATGGAAGTCTTGCTTCTACTTCCTGCCTAGCTATTGGTCATTCAGCTCTTTATTACACCAATCACAGCAACACATCTTCACACAGTGTACAAAATATTCTGAAACACCCACAACTGGACAATGTGCAAAAAGTGAGAGACTTCAGCACACTCAACCCTAACATAAGAACTAATGAACATTTTGAAGAGAGAAAGTAAGATTTCTTCAGCATGAGAACTCTAGAAATGGTGAGGGCAACGGACTGAAATGGAGTTAGATCAGTGGCAAGAAACGGGCTAGGAAGTGATTACAATGGATTACTAGGATTAGTGACAACTGATGAGGTCAGTGTTAGAGGTGATGTTAAGGAAGTACTTGAATCCTTCCCAGGCTGATTGAACAGGACTTGAAAACTGATTATCAGAGTTGAAAGCAAGAAAAGAGTCAAGTTTGACATGGAGTTGATAGCTTAAGTTGGCTTCTGGTGCTGTCACATATAGCTAACAGACTTTTTGGAGAACAGAGGTCAAGATTGTAAGTGGTTAGAACACAGTGACATCTATTAGACTTCCTTCAGAACAAGGAGTGCTATTATTTGTTCACTACTAGTTACTCAGAGCATACCACAATGACTTCCGTATGGGCAAAATCCTATGAGAAACAGAATCATGACCCTCAATGACATCAACCTCCTAATCCGCAAAACCTGTGAATATATAACCTTCTGCCTTAGTTAGGGCTACTATTGCTGTGATGCAATGTCATGACAAGTGATATCCCTGGGATACCTGCTCTTTTCTGAATGGAAATGGAGGAGGAGTGGATTTAGGGGAGAGGGGAGTGGAGGGGTACTAGGACTGGGAGGAGTGGAGGGAGGGGAAACTGGTCGGGATGTATTGAAAAACCAAAAAATTAATTATTTAAACAAAGGAAATAAATAAAT